GCAGAGCCCACTAGGTTCCTCTGTGGCGGAAGGAAGCCAGGGCTCCTTTCCAGCCGCGTCTTTCCTCCCAGACACGAGGAGCCAGCAGGCCAGGTCTCAGATCCCAGCTCCACCCAGCTCTACTAGTGGTAGAGTAACTTGGATAAGTTACTTGGGTGAGTGACAAGCATGTCCCCAAGTGGTTGGATAAGTAACTAACCTCTTTGTGCATCAGCTTGCTCATTATAAAATAAGGATAGAGTAAATAGAAAATGTCAAATGAAAATAACAGTAACAATTCACTTCCATCAAACAAAAGTAACAATCTCCTTCCATCCTATGTGACATAGAACAATGCTTGACCCCAGGAACCCAGGCCTGTTATTACCCCGGATGCTAAGTGCCCTCAATTAAGCCTTGAGGAGTGTGAGTGTCAAGCATTCCAAAGGTGGTGCCCATTCTGAAAGGAGACTGGAGGCGGTGGGCCCAGGCAACTCCAGCACCCTGGACATGGGTCCCCCGCCACTCCACTGCTCCCAACAGCACCACCCACAGCAGCCCTGGAGCTACAGAGACCCTCCCTTCCAAAAAAGTAGTTTAGTGAGGCTGGTTGGGGCAAAGGACTATTTTTGTTTGTGTTTGACCTTCCTGAGAAAGTACTCTTGTTCCTGGGTGCAGAATGAGGGAAGTCTAAGGTTGCTACAGAAAAGGCTGGGGTCGGCGGGTGGGGGGTTAGAGGGCAGTGGACCCCAGCCAAGGTCAAGGCCAGGGAAGAGGGTCACTGGAGGTGTCTGGGGAAGACTCCAGTCCTCTTCCCCCAGGCCCAATTTCTGCATAATGGCTGGATACTACCAAACTTGGAAGCTCTCTCTGAGACTTGTGCTCCATGGCCTTCTCCCCTGCACATCTCCCAAGTCTCCCTGAGGCCTAAGAACACCCCTCCCCACAACACACACACCCACAGAGCTGGAAAGGCCTGGAGGAGCCCGGGATACTGTAGCTAGGCCAGCAGCGCCCCCTCCTGGTAATGCTTAAGATAGCACTAAGGAGCTCCAGAGAAGAAATGGGAACCCCCAGAATTGTCAATTCCGCCGCCCTTTCTCAGATCACTCCGGGGCCCAGAGGGAGCAAAGGTCTTATCCACATCACTACTTGGCTCAGAGGCTGGGTGGCAGCTGGGCAACCTGGCTAATTGCCTCTGGCTCGCTGTGGGCTCCTAGGTACTGAATAGACACCCTGCCTCACTCCAAGTGGATTTTCAAGACCCTGGTGACCCTGCCCTGGGGCCACTGCCAATCCTCAAGATCCTATTGATCCTTGATATCTGTCTGGGGCTAGGGAGGGGATGGGCACAGCCCTTCTCCCCACCTGTCCCCCTGGATACAAGACAAACCCTTGGGCAGAGGAGGAAGAAGGGTGCAGGGAGCCTCCCCAGTCCCAAGAATGAAGACTGTGGATCTTCCCAACGTACAGGTTTTTGCTCTTTCTCTTCTGAGAAGCTTCGTCATCGTCCCCAACTCCGTCAGGTCCACTCATCTGCAGAGAGAAGACAGACAGGATGCAACCTGCGTGTCCAGAGGCTGCTGCCCAAGTCCAGACCCAACAGCTCCTTAACCAGAGGGCCCTGCCCCAATGCTCACCCCTGGAACAGCGTTGGGTGCGGGAGGAAGGCCCCACTGCTGGAACAGCCCAGCCACGGTAAGAGAGGCTAGGCAGAGCATCCAGCCAGGGGTCCCCTCGAGGCACATGTAGGACCCAGGCTGCCGGGGAGAAGCAGGAGTGACAGAGCCTGATTGTGGGCGACAGGGAAGCTTCCACTCAGAGACTTGCCAGTCACCGCCCCTTTCTGAGCATCTTCCTTTATTTCTCAAATCCAGATCATAATCATTAACTCAGGATTGTGAAGTCCAAAGGAGACCTGGGGCGGTCTGCAGTGCATAGAATGAATCGCCACCCAGGCCCGAGCTTTCCAAGGCTCCCTAGGACCCTCAGGACAGTGTCCCGACTCCATGACAGGGTCTTCTATCTCAGGGAGAAAATCCCTCCTTAACCTCAGTTCCAAGTCCCTGGGCCGTTGTCCTGTTCAGCAACCTCGACCCTGACTCCAGCCAAACGAGTGTCTTGGCCTCACCTTGGTGACTCTCCTGCTTCCTTTCCTCCTGAGGTCCAGCTTCAGTTCAGGTCTCAGCCTAGCAGCCAAAGGCCCCTTCCCCTGGAAAGCCCTCCCTGATCCGTAGGGCCAGGCGTGTCCCCTTCACCTCTTTTAAGGTCCCCGCTGCACCAAAAATGACTTGTGTCAAACCTGTCTTCCCTGCTTGGCTATGAATTTCCAAAAGCAAGCCTGTGTCTGCCCAGGTCACTTCCACGGGGCCTGGCACGTGTGAGGAGCTCAGTAAGTCAAACCTGACAAATGAATCAACTGATCAGAGAGAGAGGGCGCAGACGAGGAACCATGACTCTCGGAGTCCTCCTTGCTTGATTGGGCCTTCAACTTTACACACACACACAGCCCTTCCATTGCAGGGTCCACCCCACCCACTCTACCCTATCACCTGCCTTTCGCCTGTGCTGTGCCCCCAGCCTCTTGCCCTCAGTCTCCTCTTCCTTTCAGACACTCCTTCTCTCCTCAGACCACCACAGACTCCCACCATCTACACTGGGCCGTCCTCTGTGTCCCTTGCCCTGCCTGGGCTTGGGCATCCTCCTCCAGGGGAGGCCCAGGGCCCCAATGGTGCTACCCTGCAGCAGGAGCCCATGCTACACTCGGCAGAGCCAGATTCAAAGTACAGTGGGCATTGAAGCTCTGCCCCAAGACAGGGCAGGAAACGACCAGGTGTGGACTCAGCCAGACTCCACAGGAGACCCACCCTGAGGCTCAGTTTCCTCATTTGTAGAATAAAGAAGATGGGCTAAGCTTTGAAATGCAGAGTTCTTAATTCTGGAAAGAAAGTGGTCTCATTCCAGATGTAGCCAGCAGGCGAAGATACTGGCCTCTATGGAGCACCCACTAGAGGATGGACAGATAAATGGACAGATGGATGTGTGAGTCATACCTTTGTTGACCACAGCTTGCACTACAGGCCAGACCCTGGGATGAGCATGACCTAGCTGCTATACCATTAACCCTCACAGCAAATCCAAAAAGTACACAGGCTCAGAGTCACCTGCTGGAGGAGGAGGACATCCAGCATTCAGTGAGCTGGAATGGGAGCCTGTCAGGGTGCAAGGCGGGGGTTTCTCCACTAGAGGGCGCTGCCACTTGAGCCCAGGACAGGGCACATTTTGACCATTTCCAGGGAAAGACTCAGGAAATGCCGCCTCCTTCCTGAGGCTGCTTTGGACCAGGGCCGCTGGCACGTGTGTGTACGTGCACAGAGAGGCCACGCCCTGTGGGGGTGTGATTTTAGGGCTTTGGGGCCGGGCTGGGCATAGCCCTACTTCATGAACTTGGGAGACTCAGCCTCTTAGCTTAGGTTTGTGAGTGACAGCACAGCCAGGGTGACAGCCACCCCATGGGAAGGGTGGAGGATCCACCAGGATGAAGCCTGGGCCCCGATGGCCTGGTCCTGGTACACACGGTGTCCTCAACAGCCCAGTTGCTGGGTGTGTCACTGCTGTCACCCCAGCACAATCGCAGGCTGCAGGCAAACTGGCCTGGCTCAGCAGTGCCCAAAGCCCCCACCCGTGGGAAAGGGCCACGGCACTGGGCTTCCTCCCATTCTAACCTCGGCTTCCGTACTTTATCAGCCCCACACAATGGGCCTGGGGACCACTCCCGCCCTGGCCACCACCCCCAGCCTCTGCACTGCTGGGAAATGGGCTCTTCCTTCCAGTGATGGGAGTGGGGGGGGGTGTCTTCAGCAGGGTCCCGTGCAAGCCAAGCAGCCTGATGGAGGGCTGGGCAGCTCTGACCCTGGAAGTTGCCCCCGGGCACCAACGAGGAAGAGCAGAAACTGCAAGGTGGGACCCAGTTCTGATTCCCAGCCTAGGGTCTCCTAGAGTCCACAGGGAGGCTGAGACCTTAGCCTTGGACGAGGCCAGAGTGGCCCCAACAGCTGCAGCGAGGTCCGCCCAGGGCCCAGCATGCAAAGGGCCTCTCCCCAGGGCTGCTCCTTCCATCGGCTCCTCACTCTCTCCTCCGTGACCCTGCCCTGCTGACAGGCAAATGGAAGTGAGCCCAGAACCAGCAGCCCTCCCTACACCCAGCCATCAATGCCTGCGGCCTGCCCGGCCTCACCGGCCACCTCCCAGGACGGGAAGCTCACCGTCTCTGGGAATAACAATTAGAATCCTTACTGTCATTGCAGGAGGGATCTAGAGTGCAGATTCTAGGCTCAGGCACATATGGGTTCGTTGACTTAGCTCAGTTTCGACCCTCTCGCTGCCTCCGTTGCTTTACTGATAAAACGAAGGTAACAACTGGGCCCGGCTTATGGGGCTGCCGTGAGGATTAAGTCAAGGACGTGCGGGACGCCCTCGGCACAGCGCCAGCACAGGAAGGGGCTCCAGAGCCATTAACTCTCCTCAGTTCTTTATTATTTACTGGGCCTCCCTGTGCGCTGGGCACCGTGTGACAGTGCTATGACATGTTTTCTGGTTTGATCCTTCCACAGTTCTAAGAGCCATTTGCTCCGGTTTCCCCCATCTACAGCTGGGGACCTGAAGCCAGGAGGGGTTTGGTGACTTCCCTGGGCTATCAGCTGCCAAGGAGCAGAGGATTTTGAGTGTGGTCCAGAGCCCAGTGGTGACGAGGGCTCTTCTGGGAGGGCCCAGCGGGTTCCCCTCTTGGTCCTGGTCTGACTTCTGGGGCTACCTGATGGTTCACGACTGCCAAGCTGCGCCCCGGGTGGCCGTGTGGAAACGGTGGATCTAAACTCTACAGTTATTTGTTTGAACACAGGAAATAATTCTCTAGGCATTTTGAAAATAGGCATTTTGAAAGCGTTATCATGTTTTGGAGCTGGAAGGCATTTCAGGAGGCCTCTTGTCTGATCTCCAACCCAGACAGGAAGCTTAGGCAGTGGGGCTGGCACCTCTGATGGAGCTGGTCCCCAGCCCAGGGGAAAGGAAACATGGCCAGAGAAGGCCTGTGGCCTCCTCGCTGTTGAAGAATGGCCTGTGACCCTGAGCTCAGCCAGACCAGAATGGGGTGCAATTCAGTGACAGTGTCCTGGACCCAAACACAGAATTTACCTAGGGGGATCCTCTGACTCCCCAGGAAAAGAATAGGTATGAACCCCTTGATCTGCTCAGCTGGGCCTCCAGAGTCGGGCAGCAGAGGGCGCTAGGAGCCAGCTCAACTTCACCCAGGGGGCAGACGACCCACTGGCCAGCCAGAGGGGCCGGCTCCTCTCTGGACCTCGCCAGCTCACCAGTGTGGCAGCCACAGCCAAGCAGACCATTTCTGAGGCCTGTGTGATTCTGACATAGAAACGGCTCAGGACACCGGGACAGAGTGGCAACAGAGGCTCTGGGAGGTCATAGCTCACCCATACAGCAGGACGCAGCACCAACCCAGGGCCATGCCAGCTCTGTCTGGCCCTCCTGGTCTCGCAGCATCAAAAGATCACTGCCTGATGGGCAGGGCTTGTCATGCGCCCGGCACAGAGCTCTCTGCACACTGATACCTCGAGTCCCTGGGGTCAATTCCAGGAAGACTTAGCGCTTGCATTTTATAAGAGAAAACTGGAGCTCAGAGAAAGAATGAGCTTGGCCAAGGTAGCAGAGCCAGGCAGGAGGCGGGGCTCAGACTTGAAGCTGGCTCCATTGGGCTCCAAAGCCTGAAGACTTCGCCCCTCTCCTTTTTACCTCTTGATTGGCGCTGTCTGGGAACAGGGGCCTGTCACTGACTCTCCCAGGACAGCCAGGCCCAAGCCAGGAAGACAGAAGTCATGAGAGAACATGCTTCCTCCACCCTCTGTCCATCCCCCACCCCAGCCTCTTATTAGCATGAGATGCAGGGGGCCTGGGGTAGAGCCACAGAGGGTGGGACAAGGCAAGGCCACTGTCAAGTTCTGCCTTGACTGACTATGTGGCCTGGGACAAACCAGCCTCATTCCCTCCCTGTAAAAGGAACACTGGTCCCACTGGTGGCACTTTGTGAACGGGGACATAGCTGTTCCCGCTCTGGCTCCTGCTGCCCCACCTCCTCCCTCCTCCCCCTCCTCCCAAACTGTCAACATTATGGCCATTTATGGAACACCCTCCCCCCCCCGGACCAGGTGCAGAGTGCCCAGCACTGGCCTAAATACCTGCCTCAAGCTACTTCATCTTCTCAGAAACCCTAAGCAGGGGCGTCACCCCCATGCCCACCTGTCCAGTGAGGACACGGAGGCTGAGAGGGCAGGGGCTTGCCGAGGCCCGTTGCAGTGGACCACAGCTCTAGACCCCGTGTGGCTCTGCCCAGGCTTCATTCCCTTTGCCCAGGACGGGCCCTTATGAAGCCAGCCAGCCGGAGGCAGTACACGGAGCCAGGATGACCGTGCCAGGCCTGGTTAGGGAGCCACACAGGAGGGGCCACCACAGGACGGGGCAGCCTCGGAGGCCTCTTCCAGCTCAGTTGCTCAAGCCCAAAAAAGGAAGCGAAAGGCCAAAGGAGAGTGGGGGAGGGGAGGGTGCCAGTGGGAACCCTGAGCACCCAAAGGAGGAAGCTGAGACAGAAGGGAGCCCGTCCAGGCCCTTGGACTCAAGGCAGAAGCACACTTGAGCCGGGTCAAGTGAGCCAGGGAACTCCACAGAAGCGCTCGCAGGAGTGTGTGTGTGAATTTATCTGTGTATAAATATGTGTCCTGGAGCACGGGTGGGGGAGGGCACAGACGGGTCAGGGAAGGACCTGGTGGAGGGTTAGGATTGGGAGGCCCCAGGCAGGTTTGGGCCCTTGGTCCTCAGCTGCTGTCCAGAGAGGAATGGCCAGGCCCTAGCTGTGTGAGCTCGAGGCCTTGCCTTGGCAGCACCGAGTCCTGGGCTCCCTTCTGCAGCAGCTGCCTCAACAGGTGGCCTAAGATGATGGCCCTTGAGCTCCCGAGAGCATCGAGCTCCTGGGGAGCTGCTTTAAAGTGCAGAGTCTGGGCACCACCGCTGGAAATTGTGATTCCAGAGGCCTGGGGCTGGGACTGGAAGGCACACGGGACCAACCTCCCCCACTCTGGCAATTCCAGAGCACACCAACTTGGAGAACTGCACACGCCTGACAGATGAGGAAACTGAAACCCGGTCCCAATTCCCTTCAAGTTGAATCCTGGTTTCTGCGCCCAAAGTTCAAGGCCCTTTCTGCAGGACCCCGGCCTGACCATATTCCAGCAGAAGCCAAGTCTTCCTGACCACTAGTGGCTAAGAAGCTAAGAAGGTTTCCGAGGTCATGTCCCAACCGAGTGGTGACGTGTGCTGGGATCCACTAGTGATGTCTGCCGTTTGGGGAAGGCCCCGTTAGGAAGGCCGACTTCAAAGGTGTGGGCCCTTTAGGAATCCCCTATTCCAGTCAAAGGACACCTGCTCATCCTCTCTCTATTCTAAATCTCCTTAACCTTCCAGGCCCAGCCTGCCCAGAGGGCACCAGGCTCTGGGGTGCCCAAGAACCTCCAGGCCTCCGAGGGTCAGCTGCACTCCAGGGCCACCACCGCCCACCTAGCCTCAGCCATTGTCATAACAAGGTCCTGCACTGCCACTGCACTTCAAGAGAAAGAGCTCCAGGAGAGCCTCAGACATACTGCTCACACTGTCAGACAGCAGCCTCTTCTAATTCACCCTCACCTGCCCGGGAACACGTGTGCTGTCAACCCCCACTTTTCAGGGAAGGAAACCAAAGCTCACAGGAGCTGGGTGATTCACCCGAGGCCACACAGGCAGTAAGGGACAGAGCCCAGATTCCAGCGGGCTGGTGGGCTTCAAAGCCATGGCACAATCTGTTCCCCGTTAGGCCATGTTCCCCGCCCACACAACTCATGCCTCCCAGGCTGAGAGCAGCTTCCCGGGTTTCTTTAGCCCCTGCTGCGTCTCTGAGCGCAGGGCCTGGCACACAGCAGGAAATCTATAAACACTTATTTAGCTCTTTATAAATATTTGCATGAGCAAACAGCATGGTGCCAAAGAGAGCTAGATTCTACTTTGTTTGGACACTGTGCAACCTACGACAGGTTAGAGAACCAACCCTCAGTGCCTTGGTTTCCCCATTTATAAAATGGACGCAGGTAGACTATCTACTTCATAGGACTGTTGTGAGAAAAGAATGCAAACTCTAGAAAATTGCTAGCACGGAATAAATAATGGCTGACAGATTCCTCGGCTGGCTGGGCCTGGACCAGATCTGAATTCCAACTCCTTATTTCTCCAGCTATTATCTCAGATCTTTTAAATCCAAATAGGTATGGTCCTGGGCTAGGCCAAACCTGTTCTGCCTCTTGTGGAGACCAGAGGACAATGGGGCTGTGGGAACACAGCATCTGGGGTCCAGAGGTGCAGGGTTTGGGTCTAGGCTCTGCCTTCTTGGTCCCTCTGGGCCTCGTTGTTACCTTCTGTGGAATGGGCAGAAGGTTTGCTGGGAGGCTTAGAGAAGGGATGGGAAGGCTGCTCCTTCCCTGCCACCCTTCTGGGTCCCACGTCCCACCATCCTCCACCCTCCACTTCTCACCTTCCTGTGTCCCGTGAAGAAGAGGGAGAGGTGGTGCATGGAGCCACCATTGCGGCCCAACTCTTTCTTGAGGGTGCGGGGCGAAGGTATGGCCCAGGTGGACGCGGTGCCCTCGCCGTCCGAGCAGTGCAGGGTGGTGTCGGAGGAGAAGCAGGGCCCGCGGGCCTCCTGCAGCAGGCTGCCCTCGCTGTGCGTCCGGCGCCGCAGCGAGTTCTGCACCCGCAGGGAGAGGCCGCCCTCGGCGCCCTGGCCCGTCTCTATCATGCTGCTGCGCTTGGCCTCGCTGTGCCCCCCGTAGTTGTCATCGCTCGTGTCCTCCTCCTCGTCCTCCTCGCCCTCCTCCCCGTCCTCCGCCTCCTCCGCCTCCTCCTCATCTCCAGAGCTGCCTCCCTCGGCCTCTGCCTTCTGGCTGTAGGTTCTGTCCAGCCGGACCTCGGGGATCACAAAGGTGGGTCTGGAGGTGGCTGGAGGGTCCCCAGAGCTAGTGGTCTCCTCGGCGAGGGCCTCGGCTGGCGGGGGGGCCTGGTGAGGAGGCAGGTCCCCACAGGCGGGGAGGTCCTGGGCAGGAGGTTCCGGGATGTCAGCGAGGCCTTTGGCCAGCGGAGGGTCCTGGCTCGGAGTGGGACCCGGAGCAGCAGGCAGGTCCTGGCAGGGCTGGAGGTCTGGGGCGGGTGGGGAGTCCTCGCTCAGCGGGGCTTCTGAGGGCTCTTGGTAGGGAGGTGAATCTTTGCTGGACGGTGATTCCTGGCCAGGAGTGGGCTCCTGCTCTGAAGAGGAGTCCTGGGGTGGGAGATCCTGTCCTGAAGGAAGCTCCTGGGCAGGAGAGGGGTCCTTGCTGGGTGGGGCTTCCTCCGCGCCTGGCCCCTTCCCTTCCTCCAAGGGCATGTCCCTCTTCTCATCTGCCTCCGTCTCAAACATCTGGTAAACAAAAAGCAAACAAGGAAGGTTCAGAAGAGGAGGCAGCATCACAGGCTGATCCCAAATCAGGCAGCCACCTGAACCCTGCACCCTGCCGTTGGAAAGTCCAGGTGCAAGAGGGAAACCCCTGTGACTCTCTCGTTGCCTGGCTTGAAACTTCTGGTCCACCCAAAATATGGCAGGCCACTTGGGGGCAAGTTACGTGGCTCCTGCTGTGTGGCAGTTACCAGGGAACCTAAACTCCCTCCCTTACACGACCCACCCCACGCCCTGAAAGGGGACCACTGTCATCCTCACTTGACAGAAAAGGAAACGGGAGACGTTTCCTCTGAGAGTAAAAGTCTCTGCCTTCTTGGACCAGAACCAGACCAAGCCCCTGAGCCCCAGCCGTCGCGGTAGCAGAATCTTGAGTATAGCGAAAGGGTCTCTCTACCAGAACCAAAGTTGAAAAAGAACAACCTGCCTGAGTCATTCCAACAAGAATTTTTCTGTAAATGTTAAATACATTTTTGAAACCAGGAAACTGGAATAAAACCAGAACAGGAAAACATGGCCCACACCTGGACTAACTAGATGTCACAGACACATCCACCCAATGATTATTAAACTGTGTGGAGGAAACTCAGATCGCACACATAGACAGCATTTCCTGCCTGGCACAGCACCCAAGGAACCCTGGAGGGGTTTTGCTGGCCCAACTGTAGACTCCGTTTGCAAATGGAAAGATAGTTCCCTTGATGAGAATCTCAAAAGCAGCTCTTGCTACACTCAAGGATGTGGACTGCTAGAGCTACAACTCTTCAGAGCTCAGGTTTTGTCCTTCAGAAAGCCATAGCCACCTAGAGCAAAGAGGAGGACCCCACACATACCCTGGAAGCGTGCAGATGCGTGGGAGTGAATGTGTGCGCATGCGCTGGCCAAGAATTTCCGTAGCAGGTACCCCCCCCCCAACACAGGCCCCACCCTCTCACGGTGGAGAGCATGAGTGGCGGCTTGACAAATGAGAAAACTGAGCCCCGGGAATGGTGACTTAGCTACTCTTGCACAGCAGCCCAGAGACCACAAGGCCACGCCCCAGGTGGGAAATTCTGACGCGTGGGGAGTCTGCGCCCAAGCCCCATCTCCACCTCTCAGCTGGGAGCAAGCCACCCAGCCCAAGCCACACCCATCAGGGGTCACGCTGGTACCTGGGAGCACCGGAGCGGATGTGAAAGTACAGTGTGGTGAAGACTCATGATCTGGGGGCATGAAAAGTGAAAGCCCCTCCCCCAGCTGGGTGGGGTGGCACAGAATGGGAAGCCTCTGAGCACTCTGGGGTGACCTGGTAAGCTGGGGTCAGGAAGGGCACATCTTGGGCTCCATTTCCTGGGTCAAAGGCAGATGCCTGCTGACTCCACAGCCTTCCTGCCCTGTGATCCTACCTGCACCTGGGAGGTGACCAACCAGGGACCCCTCAGACTTTACAGGATCAGCCCCTGCAATATCATGATCCCAAATCCCTGTTGCCTAGACAAGGAGGCCCAGAGAGGGGTAGGGGCCAACCCATAATCACACAGCAGGACTAGGTAGACCTAGTTACTAATTCTCTGGGCCTCCAGGTCTCCATCTGGAGACCAAAGTGGGTTAACCGATGTCATGCACCCAAGTAACAAACCAGGAGAATAGACTCTAGGAAATAGAAGGCTCCTGGATGGGAGGATGATGGCGATGGTACCTGTGGTGGTTTTAAAAATGCATCTAGAGGGAAAACCTGAACTCGGGGACCACAGCAGAGGCACATCTTCCCCACGGACCCCTAGAAGCCAACCCGCCTAAGGCCCAGGATGAAAGTTGGCAGTTGTGATGCCAGTCCCCTAGTCCAGAACTTCTGGAAGCTAGGGGCTGTGCTTCAGTTCCACGAGGCTGTTCCCAGGTGCAGAGACAGACCCTCCATGGATCTGACAGGAAGACTGAGGACCCAGTTGGACGGTGACTTGGTGACTTGCCCCATGTCACCCTGTACACTCAGGAGCTGAGCTTGGGCTCCATCCTGTCCAAGTCCACTTCTGATCTGTCCCAGTCCCCAGCCCATCACCTCGCCCACCAGGGAGCACCTCTATCAGGGAAAACAAGCTGCTCCCCTGGCACCCCACATTTGCATCACCCTCCCCTGCGGCCAGATCCCCCACCTGCCTCCCATGGTCTTACGGGAAAGATGGAAGGACGCAGCCGCCGGGTCCCCTTGGGGCCTGGCACAGACTGACTCTAAGAAGCAGGCCTCATTTCCCTTTCCTGGGAGGTGGCGTGGGGGTGGGGCCCAGGCCTGTCCCCATGGTGCCTGTCCACAGAGCCCGCCCTGTCCCCTCAGGGAAAGTGCAGCAACAGGCCCCAAACCAGATATGCAAGTCCGCCTGCCTCTGCCAATCCTGCCCTAGTCGGAGGCCAAACCAAACAAAGCCTGGAGAGGAAGTGCCCTCCAGTAGGGGAGTCCATCCCCAGAGGGCCCTACCCCAAGGGTTTGGCCGAGAAACCACCTGGGACTGAAGGGCTCTCGCTGGTTACGCACTGGATGCCCAGTAAGACCTCGACTTGATTCTGACCGGGCCCCTTTCTAGCCCTGCAGCTCTGGCCAAGTCTCCTAACCTCTCGGAGCCTCTGTCACTTCACCTAAAACGGAACCCAAGAATGTCACACCAGTCTCCCAGGGCTATGGTCAGCCTCCTCACAGCGCCTGGCCCAGGAAAAGCATGTGACACATTGGTAGTTATAAGTAGTTTCACCTTATTTAGAGATGGGGAAACTGAGGCCCCAGGGATAAAATTACCTAGGAAGTCAGGACCCCCAATCCTGATGCAGGAATAAGACTCCTGTCCCCCATCCCAGGTCTCTTGCATAAAGGGTCTGAGGCCCTGAGGGGACCAAGCAGTTGGGGAGCAGGCTGTGAGCCCTGTCCAGGGCCCTGGCCTGACTCCATCCACAAGGAGACATGGGCAAGGCTCCTGTGCTCTCTGGGCTTCCAGGCGGGGCTTGTATAATGTGCTGTGCCTGCACAGGAGGGTTTGGTCAGGCCAGTGTTCCCGGGAGGGCTGGGGTGGGAGTGGCTGGTCAGGATGCTCTGGGACAGCTCCAGGAGACCTGAGAGCCCCAGGGGCACCAGGTGGCAAGTGGAAGAGAGAATGAAGGTAAGAGAGGAAGTCAAGTTGAGGGCGAGGTCGCAGAATGAATGGCAGGTGTGGGCCGTGCTGTCAGCCACAGAGTGACACTGGCAGAGCTGTCTGCGTCAGTCCTGCCCTGGGCAGTGCCAGCAGGATGTGGAGGCAGGTTGTGCGTGTGCTCATGCCTTCGTTCATTCCACAGGACCCCGTAACGGCAGGGAACAAGCCACACACTCGCTGCTCTCAGCGAAGCAAAATGACAAGAGGTTAGACATCAGAGTGTGTGTGTGTGTGGGGGAGGCTTTAATGGATGAGTTGCAGACAGATGTCGCAACAGGCTGGGGTGACAAGATCCAGCCAGGGCACCCTTGGAAACCAGCCTGTGCCCCCAGCACCTTAGATGCACAGTGCTGGAGGCTGCTGCCCAGCCCTCCGAGGGGGCCTGTATCTCTCCATCCATCACTTCTTTGGCTCGGCTGGACCAGGGGCAATTCTGCCCTTGTCTCGCCTGCTGGCAGCGCACAGGAAATGAACCAGGGCCTCTAAATGATCTAATCAAATCCTCTCCCCAAATCCAATCCAGAACTCGAGCAGGCTGGGGAAGTGGCAGCTCACACCAGCCGTGGCTCCTGTACCCCAGACCCCCTGCTGCTGGGTCTGGGGATTAGTAATGGGCTGCTAGAAGTGACTTGCCCAACGTCACACAGTTACTAATCCAGGAGCCAGGATTGCTGACCCCAGAGGCGACCTGGTGGCTTTCCCTGGGATGACTCATCACATCCACCCAGAGGCTCTGGGTCTGCCCAGGAAACCACTTCCTGCTACAAGAGGGGAAGCACACTGGGGGCTGCCTCCGTGTCAAGGTGGCCCCTTCGCAGGCGGGAGTTTACAGAAAGCACTGGACTTCAAGCCCAAGGACCAGAGCGGCCTCTTCTCCATCATCTGCTGGCTTTGGGATCTCCACCGCCTGGTTCTCTGCCATGGAGAGGGGAGAGGGAACCTCCTGCCCCTGCTCCAGAGAGAGACAGCCCAGGAAAGGGCTGTGAGCCAGAAGGTGGCCTGGGAGAGGGAGAGGCCTGGGAATCCCTGCCCAGCTGTGGGCCTCCGGGCTCAGCTTCCAAGATGGGATGGTCCTTCAAATTTGGAGCACTCCAAGTCCCCAGCTTCTGGGTCCCTGGCTCCACCATGACATCTGCAAACCTTAGCTTCTTGGCCAACACTGGGCTCCCTTCTCCCAGCCTCAGTCAACTCCTCCAGCGCTGGCTTCCCGACACCCCGAGCTGGAGCCCCCAGTGCGGCCTCTGCGGCCAGCTCAGAGACCCTCCAAGGCCCTTCTGAATCTTTCCTTGGCTTTACTGGAGAGAGTGGGCAAAGCCCAGGACAGGGGCAGTGTCTGATAGTGACTGAGCTCCACTTTGCGTTTCCTGGTGGGGGGCCCTTGAACTTAATCTCTGTGCCTCAGTTTCCGTAGCCATATGAGGGATTTGTAACACCTCCCCACCGTGCTGTCAGAGGAACAAATGAGTAACGTTCATCCAGAGCTTGGCACTGCGCGGCCACGCGGGCATTCAACAAGCGGCAGCCATGACCACCCCAGCACGGCATGGCTCGGCCCTCTGCTGCCTGGATTTCCCCTGACCCGTCCCCTGGGCACTTCTCCACTCCATCACGGGCTGCTCTGCCTGGAATCTCCCTCGTGTACCCATCCGCTCCTGGGCTACCATCAACCTCCGCACCACTGGGCCACCAACGCCTCCTGGTCTACACAGCCGGCCAGCTTCGAACCCGCTCCTGAGGGCAGTTCCCACGGGCGAGCCTTTGCTCAATCCTCACCAAAGACTCTGCAGCCGGACACTGTTCCAGGCT